TTGCTTAACCATTCTCGATCATATCTAGTTTAAGTTTATTAAACAATAAAGCCACTTTTATTCATAAGCCCTTTTCATCATGTTCTCTAGTGAGAATTTCCAACACACCATGAGGTGGCAACTATATCACACTTACCAAATGTATATTGAACTAAATATTTCTCACAAAATTTGTGGTTCTTTATGTCTCTTTCTAACCTTCTAGTGGTTGAAGCTATGTACCTAGAATCACATTTAAATTTTGTCTTTATACTTGAAAAAAAAATTATATTTTATTCTCAGTTTTAAAAACTTAAATCAATTTGTAGATAAGCTCTACGTTAACTCACACAAATTTTTTGCATTTAATATATTTTTGCCCATATGCTGTAATATTATACATTTTGTTTGCTTTGAAACCGATTTTTATTTGTTCGGGATTATTAACGTTATCTAAGTACTTGTACATAATACCATCTATCATACTTTGGAAAATAATTTTATTTAGAAGCATATTAATATTGTTAAGTGACTTATTATAGCTAAAAAATGGAGTTCTTAAAACACTTATTTTTTTCAGTAAAAGGTACCACTTTTAATATATAAAACATTACAGCCAGGACGCACACATTGAGGGCATAATGACAAACTCAAAGGGCGCGAGTACATTGTAATCATTTTCAGTTTTCGTTATAAATTTTTGTTATCATTTATTGATGTTCATTATTAATTCGTGAGCGAATTCACTCATGAAAAATCTTTGATATTCGACAAGAGCTTAAGTTAGATGTGAACTGGTAGGTTAATCAAAACAGAAAGCACGAGTCAGTCTTAGGGAAAGTTGATTGGACCCTTGTAATTAATTAAAGCAATGTAAACCAAGTCCAAATTTTGTTATTAAAAAAACTGTAATGCTGTAAAATAACTGTAAACCTTTGTAATTAATTAAAGCAATGTAAACCAAGTCCAAATTTTGTTATTAAAAAAACTGTAATGCTGTAAAATAACTGTAAACCTTTGTAATTAATTAAAGCAATGTA